TTACCCTTGCAGTAATCGATCTTCCAGTTGATACCTTTTGAAAACGAAGAATGAAAAAAACCATGAATGAATGCCTACGAAAATTGCGAACGCCTTGCCATGGATACAATTTTCTGCCAACCGGTTTTCAACTGGACGACCTTGGCAACCAGCAGCAATGGTCAGCCAGCTAATTACGTTCAATGAGATTTCTCGTTCAAAGTAGTTTCTCTTTTGGTGCCAGAAAATGGCTGGGCGTTACCGTCGAAATCTGATTTTCAAAGTGGAAAACCGAGGAGTGAAAAAACTTTCGAAAGCCGAAAAAAATTGGAGGAAAACGTTAAGTAGATAATCTGTGTGTTCACTGGTTTTTTTGGTTCTCAGAAGCTGGAAAATCGTGCGCTGTTTGCGTAACTAACAACTCGGCACATGCCAACAACACTACAAATTGCTTGACACCTAAACCCTGTTTCTAGCCTTTTCTTTAAGTTAAAACGAAGCTGGGTGAGAAATGCGGGGAAATTGGGGGAGTTTCAGAAAACTCCTTTACCTCCTCCTCAAAGGTTTTCCCATTTTGAACCGACATGCTGATTTATTTACCAACACATGATCAAAGGCCGATATGAATCGACGGTGGCAATCTCAAGGTACGAGGGTGGCCGTGCGGGCGGCTTCCTCCTAAATATATCGTGTAGTAAAGTGGGTGAACCCCACGCGCTCGACAGCCAAGCCAGCTAGCTTTGATATGGGGCCCGGGCCCGATAAATTGCGGAGACATAAAGAAATACTCCATAGCGATATGGGGGAGATGGGAGGCGGTGAAAAAGGGGTAGATTCGAGACGCAGATAAAAGGCCGCTTGGCCTACATCAGTCATAAAAGCACAACGACCACCCAACTATGATGCCATATGAAACCGATACACAAACATGCCCACACATACATATACGTAAACAAATAAACGGGCACATGCTGTCACAAAAGAAGCGATTAGTGCAGACACGGAAAAGCTAATGAATACGTTAAACAAATAGGAAAGAAAATTGCGAAAGTCTAGAAAAAAAAGAATAATAAAAGAAAAAAAGAGGAAACGCTTCGGCACCTGCTGAGCCACCGGCTCGAGAATGTTCTCGATCGTCTTCGTGTGAAATACAGGCATGTCTGATGTGATATGTCTGTGTGGCTGGGCCAATTACGAGTTCATTACTGAAAATCAGTAGTGCAGCAATTTCTATACGATCAATAGTTGGAGTAAAGGGGGCGTGGCAACACAAAAAAGACGAGTACCACCGAGAAAAAAACGCAACGACATGTAAACATTGTGGATAAACCCGAAGAAAAAGGAACGACGAAAAGAGTGGCGTCTGAAAAACTGCGCGCAGCTTGCATAAACACATATGCGCCTAATGCCGGTTAGTTGGTTAACATGACTATTGACTAGTACACTCTACTTCTTTGCAATCTCACCAGATACAGTAACCACTGAAATGTAGAATTTACTACAAAAAAACATACATAATCAGTAAAATACTCAGTATTGATTGAAATGGAGGTATTTCAAAGGGANCAAATAAAACAATACTGAGAAGCGAAGAACAAGAATGGACGACATTAATATTCATGACTAGCGCGCAATTTTCCCTCTCGAAAGACTGGGTGAAAAATTCGGGTGGGCGGGTCCAGGCGGGGCATATTCCATTTGGCTTTTTCTGAAGCAATGCACTGCAAAACTGCATTACAATATTGGAAATCTTGCGAAATCTACTGAAAGACTGAACAAAAGCAGCCAATCAGGAAGGATACTGTAGGATTATAAAGCTAATTGCTATTACACAATGCCAACATTCATTATCATGTTTTCTGAAGAAAAAATCGGCGGCTATCATACAGACCAACAGGAATCGTTCAATAAGCGTGGGCGACGAATTGGAGGTGAACTGAAGAAGCGGAAAGAAAGCGATGTGAGGATGATCCGAGTGAGTATAGTGGATTGCCGGCAGCCACACGGAAACAGCCCCAGCAGCAGCAGCAACAGCAGCAGCTCCCCAACCACGCTCCGCTCCAGAGAGGCGCACCAAGCAAGCGCGAGAGAGACAGCGAAACGTGTAGAGAGACAGCACTGCGCAAGCACACATCACCCGAGCTCTATACCCCCCGTAGTGTAAAAAGGCTCGGGGACGGGGAGGATGTGTTTT